ATTAGTTAGAAATGTAGTTAATTTATCATGAGATCTAATTATATACTCCTATTTATCGAATCAAATCGATAGATTCTTAAGTAAACTAAAATCACAACAAGATCTAGAAAAATAAAATTTACAACAAAAATGATTTATTTGATGCACTATTCAACATTATCTTTTGATCATAAGCTTTTCTTCAGTCTTTTAAGCATATTTCTGTTAACATGTTTTTAAGTTGTACATATAGAGTTTTGTCTAATATTAGATGCTAAGAAAAGTAAAATTTTATAGTTTGCAAAACAATGATTCAGGGAGATCAAAAATAGAGTTTTGCATTCAAAACAATGTAAGAGTACGTCATAACATACTTGAAAACAAGAAAATCAAAGCAGCAATATACTAAAACTTAAACGAATATAAAAATATACTGAAAGCATAAAAGTCCTTAATTATTAGAAGAATGCAACTTTTTTATTTTATTGCATATATATATATATATATATATATATATATATATACAAGTTTGCTAGAGGTAGGTCAAGTGCAATGCGCCAGAGAAAGAGACTGTCTGTATGTGGTTGAGTCTTATTTCTTTTCCGAGGTTTATTTTACCGTTATAAATAATTACTCCACACACGTATAAATACATTTATGTTGTTGCTATACTTTGCGCTTTTATGTTTTTATATCAATCAAAGTATTGTGGTTAGCGATAAATTATTCACAGATAAATTGATGTATGATTTCAAAACAACGATGAGCCTTTTCATACTTTAAAATTGCATCATATGCACAAAAGACTTTGTTCGGACGTATATTGGTTTTATTATATTGGACATGAAGGTGACAACCTTCAGGGCATTAAGCTTTACACGGAATGGTTGCTACCCCTGGTAGAGGTGGTAGCGGAGTGTTTTAATTCAACTAGTTGTTCACTTCTAAATGTAAAGTCCGCGCAACGACATGTATAATAAATAACCAATAAATATTTCTTCTTTCATTATAACTTAGTAACAAATCAGTGATTGTAATAAGAACTGCAACAAATACATAATATACAAACAAATCAGTGTTTAATACAGTCCACAGCTACAAGGGTTAAATTATAACCCAACAACCTGAATTATCGAAGGACAGTTCTAATAAATTTAAAAACAACGTAACAAAAATACAGACTGGTTGAAAATCCATCATACAATAAATAGGCCATCAGTATGACAAGCTGGAGAAAGATACGTTTATTTTATAATTACTTTGAAAGTTACATATCTTTCTACTTGTTGGCAAATACATAAGTTTTTCCTGTTATCATCTAAGCATTTTATAACTGGTTCAGAATATTAAATTGTATATTTACAATATATCTTGAGAAAGAGCTACCTACATTTACCATGTTTTATGAGCTGTTTATTAGTTACAGGTTTTCTAAAATTGACTTTTCATATTTGTACGTGCGTTTAGGCCAATTGATTATTTCATTGGATTCAATCACTTTTAGAAAGGTGGTTACGACTAGTTGTGAAGGTATATTAAGGTAAAACATGGGACGATAAATAAGTACAACGCCAAGTAAGCTAACAGGATAAAGTCATTAATTATTAAATTGTTTTCAACCTACTCAAAATAACTCTTCTAGACTTTGCATATGTTCATCCTAGTACATATAATTCGCTCTTATAATGATTTTTTGCATCATTCCTCTAATTAGTATTCTTTTATCTCTGCAGAACATAAATATTCGATTTTGATCAAAAGATATTACTGAATTATAATATAAATTGCTTCTGTTTTTATTGTTTTGCAACAATGCATAGTTTTTTTCAAGTAATTATTTCTTTATCTCTGTACAACATGAATAACCTATTTAATCAAAAGATGATAACACCATAATATAATGCCCAAATTCTGCAGAACATAAATGGTAAAATAAGAGTGTTTTTATAATGCCATACAATTCTGAATCGTATAATTCGTTCTTGTTCTGAATGAGTCTTGAAATATGCCACTGTTTTCTTCAAATTGATATTCATCAATCTTTGCACAACATAAATGACTTATTTAATCAAAAGATGATAACATCATTGTATAATTCCCAAATTCTATCTCTGCACAATTCAAATGATCGATTCAATAAAAAGATAATGTTATATTGTCATAAAATTCGCTCTTGTGAATTTTTTGCAACTTTCTATAATTAGTATTCTACAATCCCTGCACAACATAATTTAATGCAATCAAAGGATGATGTTGAATTATCCTACAAAATCGATCCTGTTGTGTCTGTGTGTACCTCAAATTAGTAATGTCGATCTCTGTACAAAATAAATAATCAATTTAATTACCGGAGAGAATAGTTTCTATGTAATAGAATGGTAATCTATCGATTTGTATTCGAAAAATAGGTGTGTTTTTAAAATGCCATACATTTCTATGCATATACTTTCGTAAAGTTTGAATGTATGCATTCGACGTACACTTTCACCTTGATTTATACGTTCGCACGGTTCAAAGTGAAAATATAAGTTGAACGTTGAAATTAACACATGTAAACAGATTCCTATTTTAATAAGCTTGCAATTTAGTTATCAACATTAACTTTATTAAAAATCGCAAGAAAATTATTCTATAAACCAATTCAAAATAAATCAATGGTAATGGTCAATTAATATAAAGAAATGATTATCAATTTGCGTCATAAAATCATAATTTTTTAATGAAGTCATTCAATTTTATGAAACCAGCCAAATTATTTTTATAGAACATCTGAATTTAAATAATTTTAATTCAGTTGCAATAAAATGCAGAGTACATGTTTTGGCTTGCCAAATGATTTTCTATTCTGATTAAACCTTCATAAACCTCAATATCGTTTCTGTTTTTAAATAATATAAACTATAAAAATAGACTACAATTGTATATACTTTCAATTTTTTTTAAGTTGGCTGTTTAAAATATTTATAACAATGAATTTAAAATCTATAAACTTATTATAATTAATTAAACTGTAATATAGAGATTTAATATTTATTGCATACAAAAATTTCAACAATTGGTGGTTTTCGTGGATTGTAAAAATTATATATTAATTTTTATAAAATAAGTTCCTTGTTTGCTTTTTAATTATACCCAAGTTCTCGACATTCATTACACTAGCTTGTCAGTTACAAATAAATTTATTACATTTTATAATTGTACTGAAGAGCAATATAACACAAAGAAATCATACAAAATTATATAATTTTTCTTTGGTTTTGCTTTTGAACAATTTGTTGTAATAAATGTTAGTGCCAATTAACTGTGCATATATATTAATGTAAGATTCCAATGACTAATTTTCAATAATGATAACATAAAATATAATATTATGACAAAACGATTGAAATAAAAGATTATTCTACAAATGTTTAAAGTTTTTTCAAAGTATCATCTTAGTAGATATATATATATATATATATATATATACACATATGTATTATATATCCCCACTGTTGAAT